ACGTTCAACACCAAACTTCTTTAAATTATCTCTTTTTATCCGGAGCACTAAAAAGATACGGGGTGTGCAAGTTAAAAAATTAAACTTTTGATCTTCAAAATACGCTCATTTCGGAATATTATTATGCCCACCCTGTAGTTGCAAAGACAAATATTTTGCAAATAAAAAATATGAATATATTATGAGTTAATTCTCCTGCGAAAGTGTAAAAATTTTGTGTCCAAGGACGATTTAGAAATTTTCGATTTATCAACGCTATAAAAATGTGAATTGTCATCGTCCAAGTCGACTAAAACTAAACTAAAAAACTAAAAAAAAACAATTTTCGTTCATATTTTACATAACAAAAAATAATTTAAATTTAGATAAGAATTCAAAAATACAATAAAATATATTGTGTGTGTGTGTGTGTGTGTATTATTAAAAAATTGTGTGTATTATTAAAAAAAGGTGTTTTCTGCGCTGAAACTTTTCTGCCGCAATCTAATACATGCTTCACTACCTTTAGAGTGTGTCGATGCAATTTTTGAAGCAAATAATATCATTTAGGAGTAAATTAACTTACTCTATTAAGTTAAGAGTAAAATTATTTATCACCTCAGATAGATTATGAATAATTAAAAAAGTTTCAGAGCAATAGATTTGAGTTAACGAATCACATCAATGAATAATAATAATGCATTTGCCAGAGCTAAAAGCTGAATGCTGCATGATTATTAACGGTGTGAAATCTGCTTTCATAAATAAAGGAATTGATTAATTAACAATTTAATAAGGTTACATAGATGAGCTTGTATGGTTTAAAAAGCCAGGTTTAAAAAATGAGTTATTTTTGCTCAAAGGAGTCTTATATCGTTAGCGAATAAATTCAAAGGGCAGCTAAATGAGAGGAGAGGCAGCGAAATATCACTTCGTTAAGCGTGAGCGGTTTAAGGCACCCATTTTTAGAAGTAAAGGAAAAAATTATTAATTTTGATTGGCTCATAACTGCTTTAATGCAAAAGTAAAATGCATGTGATGCATTCAGTGCAAGTCTCCTCCACTCGATTAATCCTAAAGCAACCAAAGAAGTCTTCAAAACCTTTCAATGCTTTCTTAGTTGCTAATCTTACAAGCAAGTGTTTTAATGCAAATAAATAGGCAAAAAAAACCAGGGCCGTAAATGCCGGGACCAAGAGTCAAAACTGGGGAGCAGAGTATTAAGGGGAAATTACTTAATAAGCTTTCCAAAACAATCAGCCCGGATATTCCAAAATGGCCGCCATTTGCATATAACATTTTTTTTGGGAAAATTGAAACTGTGCCGCTTCGGGTCCGCTCCTCCCCCATCTCCTTCTCATTGGCCGCAGCTGGTTTTTGCTGACTGTTGCCACCGCTATGCAACTATAGGAGGGACCCAATAGCCAGCTAATCTTGGAGACGGCGCTGGAATGCCATACGTTTCCGTCGACGCTCCAAAAGAGCGTCGAATGTGGCGTCGCTTGCTCCCTGTGCTCTGTGCTTAAGTGGTGAGTTTTTCCAAATGTGCTCAGTTAGATCAGTTTCTGGAAGTTTCCCTATCATTTTCCTGTTCAGTTTCTATATTCACCAACCAAAAAAAGTTGCCAGTAACTGCCAATTAGTCCATGATAAGTAATCTGGAAGAAATCAATAATTAAATCAATCTTTTTCAAGGCGCTGTTGAGAATTTTTTCAGTAGATTTCCAGAACTTTTGGTATATATGGATTTTGGTCTATTGACTATTTGGTGGGTAGAGCAGCAACTTTGCGCAGTACTCAAAATGTGTCCTCCCGGGGGGATTTGCGCACGTTTTTAAGTCGTCTTTGTGCATCATTAGTGAGTCGTTTACTTCCAATACATGCACAATTACCTTTTATTTCACACTCATTATACCTTCAAGTCTATGGGATGTTTCATTATTATTAATCTAGTTCTTTCACCATTAATCCACTTCTCTTGATCCACATTTTTTTCCAGTTATAATGGACGTGTCTTCCCTTCTTAGTCTACGCGTAGTTTTAGTGTAAAGGTGATTTGTGACTTTTGTAGTTTTCGCTTTGAAGAACAGAGCATAGCTTCAAGATGACAGCCGGCTGGTAAGTAACAGCAATATTTATTTTACAAACTTTAATCAAGCTTCAGAAATATACTCTTGTTCTGGAAGTTTAGATTTAATTGCTTCAAGAATCTTCCGAAGGCAATCTAAAACTATCCAAAATCATTCTTTTGTTTAAAATCCTGTTGCGGAATTGCAATTGGCTGTTTGTTCTTCACCTGTGCGTCTTCTTTATTATTGCTACTAAATTATTGCTCTGTATCGTTTTTTCCAGTCGGAAATAATTAGTCATTTGGTTATTCATTCTTTTTCAGCGTTTCGCAGGTTTGCTGGCTTATAGAAGAATGTTTTCCAATAAGGAGGCAGGAATTTGAAGAAGTTGTCCTTGCATACATTTTTCATTTGCTCTGTAGTCTTAATCTGAATGCGACTAGATAGTATCTTGTAGAATCCACCTCTTTCCGGCAACTTTAGGTTAAAGTTTCATATTTGGGCCCCGTTAAACACACTGGGTGTGAAATTTCTCCTCTAAAGGTCTTTTAAGAACTGCAATCTCATAAGCCTGTGATTTTCCTTGCAAACCTTAAAAAGTGTTTTACAACAAATACAATGCATAATAGACTTTAACTTTCAATGGAGCCGAGAAAACCGTTTACTGTCTGGTTTTAGGAAGGAGAAAACTGACGGCATTACTTAAAAAAAATACTTTATTAAAAGTCGTTTATTTTTGCATCGAATTTATGAACAAATCTGGTTCTTTCCCAGACAATTGGATCTCAATCCTCCAAATCCAAAAAATTCTAAATTTCTTCAAAATAATTTCCCATTTACTATTTACTGTTGTAGATTAATTTTTCGCCGTTATTTTGCTACAGTCTTTTCAGACACTTTTTTCAAAATGGAATTTAATAAAAGTAATCTCTATTTACAAAACTAAACGACTTATCTTTAATAGTTTTTGCAAATATATTAGATGGCTCTTTTTCACTTCGAAGCTAAGTTTTTATGGCGTTTGTTTTGGATTTCGAAACTATAAGCCATTTCAATACTGTGAAATCAACAACATTTAGGCTACAGGCAACGAACTGTACTGTGATAAAATAACATAAATCTCGGATTATGCTGTTATCAGACGAACCCAGTGAGCGGTAAAGAGGATAAACGTCCACCATAAACGATTCGGAGGTTTAGGACAGAAATGTTTCCTCTTTTCAAACCGAGAAATATAATTCAAAACTTTTGGCTCGCTGGAAGTCAAATTGATCTTGCTAATTGGACGCAAAGAAACTCTGCCAGGCTTACAGCCGTTCATATTAATATAGTCAATAAGTCATTTCGAGATGTTTCCATTCCACCTTTTCAGCGCTTTTTTAATTAACTTCTTAATTAGAAATCTGACCATTCAAATGCTCCAAGTTGGCAATAAAGTTTCATTAGCAAATCCGCCCCGGACGCGTGAGTGGGCGTTTTTGAGACGATTTATATACTTGAAAATTAGAAATTTAAATTGAAAAAATAGAGGGTTTAATGAAAATACTTTTGATTTAGCGGCGACACGTTTTACGGCCTTCAAAGGCCATCTCTTATTTATTTTAGATTCGAAAATTTTTGAAAATCGGTTGATTTAAATATTGATTTAAGTAATTAATTCATTCAAAATGAGTTCAGCGGTTTTCAAGTTAAACCTAGAAATCAGGACTATTTATCGAAAAACACATTTGGTTTTTAGGTATGTGTAAATCAGCAGATAGTTAAAATCACTTCCTTGGAAAGGATTGATATGGATTTCAGCTTCAAGATATAACTGTTCGTTATTACAGGCTTGTGAGAATATATACTGAATTAATGCTGATGAGTTTACATGCTATCTGTGAAACTAAAGAACATTATGTACCTCGTAAGCATAATTAGATATTTTCTTATGCTTAGCTAAGAAGCGAAATAGAATATCATAAATTTGTGAAGTTGGCTAAATAGGATATCATAACTAGACAACATTTTTTGCAGCTTTAAAATGTCTTTTAACAACAGTTAATTAGTTTTAAACCATGTAAAAAGATTCAAAACACATTTTCTGGCAGGGGTTTATTAACAATTTGGATCGTCATTATCAACGAAGATTTTAATGTGCAAATAATATTTAGTTATTACTAATTACGTTTTTCACAAAACAAGCATTTACGTAAAAAAAATTGGGCTCATTAATATATTTATAAATAAAAACAGTTTTAAGTTTTTTAGCAATCGATGGTGCATAGCTCAAATAATTTTATCCATAATAATCATTAAACAAAACTCAAACAGAAAACAATGTAAAAAACCTAAGGTAACAAAAAATGTAGACAATGAAATGCCTTCTTATAGCATCCAAAATTGTTATGAGAAAAAGTTGAACAAACAATCTTTTATTTTCCAAATTGAACAGCAAATTGAAAAATATTATTTATTTTTAGAAAAATCAGTGGCGTAACATTTTTCTATTTAAAATTATCTACAGACGTGACTGTACCCATGCTACTGGAAAATATTGAAACGACATTTTTATCACAAAACCTGTATTGTCCTTAGTTGTCTAAGCCTGTCAAATTTCATTATAATATTCCACGCGGTTTACGAAATATTAATAAATAATTTTTTTTTATTACTAAAACCCTGTAGATCGAAAACTAATGGTTTTCGGAACCTGGTCTATTAACGAAATATATCCAAAATTACTTGCACTATCAACCCCTGCAAGGAATGTATCTACTTACCAAACACCATGTACGTGAACCAGAAAATCTATTTCTATACACGAATTTAATAAATATTTAGTTTCTTTGGTAATGAACATGAGAAATAGTAGTAGTATTTTGAGAGTTGAAAATATGGTCTACAAAGTCAAGTCGTTGGTTCTAGAATAAGTAAGTATTTCGTACATTTATTTATAAATAATATAACAAAATAAACTCTTTAATCGCTATCCATTTGGAGCAGTTGAACAGATAAAGGAATTCTAAAAAGAGCAGGGCTTTGCTCTAAAAAATATAGGCGATATTTTAGACCAAAAACTCGAAAATTCTTAAAATGCATGTATCCATATCGAAATTGAGGACCGAAAATATGACATGCCGATAAGATGAAATGGTAACTTGCTTCATACAAGGGTTTAAAAGCTTCGGAAAATCCACATGCCGTTAGCGGTTTAAAAGCGCTAACTATACGTAAAAGTTTTTTTAGAAAATGTTCCCATACTTTATAGGTATTTTTGTTAAAGAATATTCCATGCTTAAGTAGTTCTTTAAGCTAAAACATTCTAACGTTTTAAAAGATCAGAAACGACTCAAATTAAATAATTCTTCACATTTCCAAGCCTAGGGCTACGATCGATGTATATTTTTCGTTGTTAAATAAGAGTGTTAAAAGCAATTTTTCTGTTGGGAAAGTTTCCAAATTTCAACGGTATCTTTCCTCTTAAGGAACCTTGTAAATGTATGAATATGAAATTTCGCCTCGGTTCCATGGCTGATTTTTTCTAGTAGATCTACAGTTTTTCAGCGTTTTTTTGCCTAACTAGACACTCTCAATTTATTAGAGAAATCAAAAGAAGATTTTAGGTGCGCAAGCCGTTTATTCTCATTCGAAAACAAGCTGTTGCATTTGGTTTTCTCCATCAATCAATCTGTATATTGAATTTTTCTCTTAAGTCGACTATGAAGCTTTAGCTCCAACATGAGCTCTAAAGTTTGAAAATCGATAGAAAAAGAAAATTGTTATCACTGCAAATTCAAAAAGAAATATTTTTCACATAATCCTATAAGTAAAGGAGTCAAGCCAAAAATCTAAAAAACGTTTTGGAATGTGACGTCTTTCGTTGTGCCGCTCGTGTTAAAGTGCATAAAAGAACGTATTTGTCTTATGTTTAACTGAGAGCACGCAAAACTTGAAAGAAAATGTGTAGTGTTTTTGAAAAAAACACGCACTAGCAAAACATAATTGCACTCGTCAACGCTCTAAACCGAAAGTCGCTCGAAGCAATGAGACTTTATCTAGTTTAAAAATGGGTGCAAAATTGGCCGTAAAATGTTTTTTTTTCGAAATTCATGCTTTAACAGTCACCACCTGCAGCGTTTGCAAATGTTAACCAAAACCTTTCCAAAAACGGTGTTGCATCCGTAAAATTATTTCCGACTCGACCCGGAGAGAATTTCGAAATCAGTTTGAGGCTCGCCGATTCCCCAAAGGCCAATTTGACTCCTGCCTCGGATTCCGTCTTTCGGTTTATTCCCTTGTCGGATTGGCACGATCCCGGCAAATAGAGTGTTTATATTTTCCTTAATAGACTATTTGGAAAATAAATAAAATCAATTTGGTTTGAGGCAACCTGAACTAACCAAAACCACTTTCATGTGCATTAGGTATCAACGAATTGGTGTAATTGTCGACAACATTCGGAGTAAAGTAAAGCTTTGCGCAAGAAACAATAAATCATAGTCCCTGTAAAAGCAAAAGCCGCTAGTTAGGCTTTTATGGGGTACGAGTTAGTGAAGTTATTTGTTCCCGAAGATGCCGCATTAGGGGAGAAGTTACTTAGGGAAAATGCAAGACACATAAGTATGATAAAGTGCTGCCAAATAAAATTCGAGAATGACAAAACGGATTTTTTCTGATTTATTTTTACTGCGCTTGCTTTAGTCTATCGGGAACTCACTGTCTATACTTATCAAACTAAGAATACTGGGCTGGAACATGCTGGTCCAGATTATTTATTTCTAACGTTATATTTGCTTATCTTATTGTTTTTATTATTATACTTTATTTCTAGCTTAACTCTGGGTTCAGTAATTTTATATTTATATCAGTCCGATATGATTTCAAGAAACGGTGGATTTTGTATTTTGGATGAATTAATTTAGATTTTATATCAGTTGGTCTTCTGATTTCTTGACGTACATTTCATAAATTCAGTGTTTGCAATAAAAGCCCGTTGCATTTACTGCAATAAAATGCTTACTTGCAAAGGATCAAGCACAAGCAGTCTACATAATCATTTGAAAACCG